TCTTGTCTCTAATTCAATTAGTTCTCCGAAATAGTTCCACTGAGACAAGAGCACCTGCTCTTCTGGAGCAATGAAATGCATGGAAATCTTAGCTCCTCACACTAGACATATGGATCCTTAGCAACACAGAGTAAGACCCAGAAAGATGACAGAGTGGAAATATGTACGGTGGCAGAGAGAACAGAGACCCTTAAAAACAAGATCAAGGCAGAAGTCTGTGTTATTCCTGTAAGTGGATACTAAAGATTACTACTACCAGAGTTAATTAGTGTACATTTTGTTTGGTCACACATAAATTCTATTGACAAAAATTAGAGTTCCGTGAGACTATTAGAAGCAGTGACCAGGCTACTCACAAGGGCACAAATACTGTAGATGCCAAAGAATATCAGTAACATGCTCCTCGTTTACTATCAACCTAAGTAGCTTTCAAGAAGGATTTATCAGTGTTGGAAAGCTCTTAAGCAGAGAGCATAGGCAAAGAATCAAAAATCCCAAGAATGTGTTAATTCACTTTCCGGTAGGTTCTTTGACCTGATGACCAAAGCTAATCCCTCCAGATCTGTTCCTTCATTCACATAGCAGATAATGATTTCCATTATTATCATCATAAGATTATGTAAACCTAACAGCACCAAAGTATATTTTCCAAATGTCCTAGTATAACCTATGCATGAAGCAAATTTATTTTTAACTCTAATGCTTAGATCAAACAGATATGGCTTGGAGAAGACACAAACAGAAAGAACAGATACGTCTTGGTGAAGGTGCAGCCAGAGTGCTCCATCGAGGCAAGGATGGGAAACTTTGTTTCACATACTTTCGGCATGCTATTAGAAAAGGTTATTCCTTGGAGCTGTGGTGGCTTAACAGTAAGAAGGCGAGCTGCAATCCCAAAGGCACTAGGTTCAAATCCACCAGCTGCTCCATGGGAGGAAGATAGGCAATCTTCTCCCATGTGATTAAATTGCCTCTGAAAACCTGTTGTAGGGTCAGCTATGAGTCAGTTCTGACTCACTGGTACACAACAACAATCCTTGGAGAAGGACATGGGACAATTAAAACAGACTTTCAAGGGGGGAGAGAGAGGAACGAACTGTGGGGGAGGTAGAGAAAACAGTGCAACAATGAATGAATGGAAGTCCAAAATCTCTGTAAATGTTCACTAAAATTAATAAAATAAAAATTTAAAAAAAAAAGAAAAGGGAACGTCAGTAAAAGGGAGGAAGACCTTCAGTGAAATGGATTGACACAGTGACTACAGCTCTATGAGAAAAAGATCATTTCCTCTCATGCAATTTTACTGCCTCTGAAAACCTGCTGGAGGATTAGCTATGAGTTGGTTCTAATTTGGAGGAAGATAACAACAACTACATAGATGGATATTTGTTGTCATTATATGTATGTAATTCATACTTTCTATAACATAATATAGTGTTTTCATCCTTAAACAATCTTCTTGGACCACTAGCTGAATGATCGTTCATTATATAGCTGTGCAATAACTTAATTATCTACCTCCTACATCTATTATGTTTGGTTTTGGTGTTTCGTGATTACACAAGGCCTGGAGGAGGACAGGGTGAATCTTCTTTATGTGTACGTTATTGTCTGCATCACTGATTATTTTATTAGTTTATTTTATTAGTATACATTCCTTGTAATGGAATTACTGGATCAATATTGTACAACATTTTTGCAAGATTCTCAATCTTGATAAATTGTAGCAATTAACATTTATTCTTGCCTTATCATTTCCAAATCATGATTATTATAGTTTTACATCATGTCACTTCAATGTTTCTCTAATTATTGGGTGATAAAATTAATAAAATTGGCCTTGGCAACACAGACCTGGGAGCTGGTTCTGAAGTTTTGCAATTTAGAATGAATAAATCTCTTGCTCAGTGATGCATTCATTATAAAGAAGCTTAAAACCAAAACAGGAACATTGAAATCTGGACTTGGAAACAACGTCATTCCAAGCTCCAGATCACACAAAAAACAGACCAAAGTAGCTTTGAGTTGTCAGGTGACAGGCTAAGACATTTGGTTATCACAAGTCTACATAACTGAATCAAAATAAATTATGGAGTCTGTCTTAATCACCTCTTGGATGGGAGCTGGGGCTTGTCAGTGCTGCATATATAAGTGATCACAGAGATCAGACTAACTTCTTTGCTCACATCTGCATACGAAATTATCTCTACTTTGTTGTTGTTTACTGTGTAGTTGAATCAACCCATAGATGATTCTCTGACAGGTTTTTAGAGGCTGTTACTTGCTTGGCAGGAGTTACCCATCTTTCTCCTGTAGAGTGGCTGATATATTCAGTGTGGTTTCTGAATTGCAGCATAGTTTCTTTTCTTTTTTTCTCTTCTTCTTCTTCTTCTTCTTCTTCTTCTTCTTCTTCTTCTTCTTCTTCTTCTTCTTCTTCTTCTTCTTCTTCTTCTTCTTCTTCTTTTCTCTCTCTCTCTCTTAGTGTTTTGCCTGATTAGCAGTAGAACTCTCCATGTAATTATGGATTTATAAATACATTTTTAAAAATTTACTTAATTCATAGCATTCTTACTTTCAGATTATTATCTCCAATGTCTTGTAAGTAAATTGTTCTTCTGAGCATTTTTTTACAGACTATCCATTCCATTTAATTTTTCCCCATTCATTCGTTGTTGCACATTTTCCTGCCTGCCCACCCCTCCCCTCAGTTCATTTTTCTCTTTGAAAAAAAATTCTTTCATTGTTATACAACCCCCTTCTCCAAGTCCACAGTCCACAGTCCACTTTAATACGTATTTATTTTTCTGTAACCTTGTCATGAAAATAATCCGTAATCCTATATTCCCTTTAAAAAGTTCTCTCTCTCATCTGTTTCAATGCAGTATACAATATTTATCCCCTCTTATCTTAGGTTCCCCTCCAACCCCGGTTTCAGTCCCGTTTTATAACAGTGGCACTATGTAGTATTTGCCCTTTTGTGAGTGATATTTCACTCAACATAATGTCCTCCAGGGTCACTCATTTTGTGTAATATTTCATGAATTCTTTATTTTTCAATGCAACATAGTATTCCATTGTGTGAATATACCACAGCTTCTCTATCCATTCATTTGTTGATGGGCACTTTGGTTGTTTCCAACTCCTTGCTATTGTGAACAAAGCTGTGATAAACATGACTGTGCATATATCTGCTTGGATGTCAGTTATGGTCTCTTTGGCATATATTCCCAGTAGTGGACTTGCTGGGTCAAATGGTATTCCTATTTGCAACTTTTTGAGAAAGTGCCATACCACCTTCCACAGTGGTTGCACCATTTTACACTTCCACCAACCGTGAATAAGTGTTCCAGTTTCTCCACAACCTCACCAGCATTTGTTGCTTGCTGTTCTGTTAAATTTTGCTATTCTGACTGGGGTGAGATGATATCTCAGTTGTTTTGATTTGCATCTCTCTTAGAACTAGGGATTTTGAACATTTCTTAATGTGTTTGTTTGCCATCTGAATGTCTTCTTTGGTGAAGTGTCTGTTCACATCCTGTGCCCATTTTTCAATTGGCTTTTTAACCTGTATCTTATTGTGGTGCTCGAGTATTCTAGAAATTCTATATATAGTTCCCTTAACAGATATGTCATTGCCAAATATTTTTCCCCCAGTCTATGACTTCCCTTTTTACCCTGTTTGGAGAAATTTTTGGATGTGCAAAGAGATTTTATTCTTAGGAGGTCCCATTCATCTATTTTATCTTCTCTTGGTTGTAGGTTTTTCAGGATATTTGGAAGACTGTTTATGTTATGGATTAGGACTTCTAGCATTGTTCCTAGCTTTTCTCTAATGAATTTTATAGTCCTTGGTTTTAGTCCTATGTCCATGATCCACCTTAGTTGGTTTTTGTGTATGGAGTGAAGTGTGGATCTTGCTTGAGTCTTTTGCAGATACTTTTCCAATCTTGCCAACACCATTTGTTTAAAAGGCTGTCATTTCCCCACTTAACTGATTTCATCTCCTTGTCAAAAATCAGTTGACCATAGGTCGATGGGTTGATTTCTTGATTCTCAATTCTATTCCAGTGATCTATGTGTCTGTCATTGTACCAGTTCCACGCTGTCTTGACCTCTAGGCCACCAGAGTTGTTTTGAAAGAAGCAAGGTTGGCTGCTGGGGGACCACTAGCTGCTTTCTAAAGTGTGTTTCTTTGGTGGTGGTGTGCATAAAATGTTATAGCAAAATATTTTTCTTATGCCTTTTTCATTTTGTACTCTTGTGAAATAAGCTGTAAGTTAGTTTATCTCAGTTTTAGTTTTATAAATGCAGTCTTGTAAGGTTTTAAGGAGTCACAGTATTATAGCTTGCAGCACATTGGGCTGTTAACTGAAAGATCAATAGTTCAAATCCACCAGCCACTCCACAAGAGAATGGTGGGCAGTCTTTTTTGTGTCAAGATTTATAGCTTTGGAAAAATCCATAGAGAATTTCTGTGAGAACTGACTCAACAGCAGTTGGTGGATTTGATAAGCTTTCACAGCAGAATTGCATCAGACAAGCATGATTACTGATGGTCACCAGCTACTCCACAGGAGAGGGATGAACAATCGCTTCCCGTGCGAGTAACTGTCTCTCAAAACCCGATGGAGGGGTCAGCTATTGGTTTGTTCTGACCTTACAATGTACAACAATCATGGCCAATATATATCATAAGGTGGTTGTTGTTATTGTTGATTACCTTTGAGTCAATCATGACTATGAACAAAAGGCCTGAAGCCCCTCTACCACTATTGACATTTATCAAATTGTTTCCAAAATTAGTACATATCATGCTATTAAATTATTATTACTCCCGAAATTACATTTAAATGCAGTTAATATTTTCAAAGATTTTGTTGCAATCAAAATTAAAGAAAAATCTCAGTATTATAATGAAACAAATTCTACTGGTCATACACACACACACACACACACACACACACACACACACACTGAGCAAAGACATATGGAAAACTCACGTAAAAGAATCCCAGGGGTCCAGATATATATGGCATTTTCATTCCCAAAAGATACTTGACTTGAGATGTCACAACATGAGTCGCAGCCCCAGTTGTCATGGCACTGATGACAGGTTCTGTGACCAGGAAGGTGGCACTACCCAGTTGTAGAACAAACATGGCCAGCTAAGAGAACAAAGAAAGGATTAGAGGGTTCTCAGAAACCAAATTCTTCAAGGTTTCTAGAGGGATTAGCATCCAAGTTCTTTTAGTTTTTACCTTATACAGACAGGGAATTGATGTGAGATTTCTCGCACTTTAAGTATACATTAGCCTGAAATTTGAGAATATTCTCAGGGTTCCGAAACTTCTCTAATGTTGTTAGGTGTTCGATCAAAATTGTTAGCACAATTATTTTTATTATTAACTTTCTCCCCCCCCCATTCACATGTTATATGAAAGGAAGGTACAATCAAGGCATTTAATATATGGGACTCTTCAGAGGAGAAAACTCAATTAGCATTAGCAGGTCTATATCTTAGGTAGGGAGGGTGAACGAAGGATATCATTCATGACACCCAGTGGGCTTAAAAATCTCAAAATCACTGAGGAGAGAAAGTCAATCCTTTATTTGCCAAGTTCTGAGAAACGAGAGCATACTATTTTGTCTAGACATACTGTTAACCGGCTTGTAAACACTGATATTTAGATTGTTGTTGAGTACTGTCGAGTTAGAACCAACCCATTGCCGACCCTTCAGTGGGTTTTCAGAGGCAATAAACCTCATGGGAGAAGAGTGCCTATCCTTCTGCCATGGAGCAGCTGGTGGATTCAAGCTCCATGCCTTTGGGATTGTCGTGCAGCCTCTTATGACCAGCCTAATAGAGTTCAGGAGTTAAATGTATATAGAAAAGAGCAAATGACAGAGAGAGAGGAAAGAGATAAGTCTTAGGACAAACCAACAGTCCTTAAACATTCCCCCACTGCCTCTAGTATCGCTTTCCATTCCCAAAGTATTCCAAGACCACAAAAAGTAAATATATAAATACATAAACAAATAAATCAGTAATTCAGCATGCACTGGGCCTCAGGTTCTGCTGGACAAAAACCAAAAAGAAACGATGGAGTTCTTCCTTCACTCATCTTTGCAGTGATAAACAGTTTTAGAAGATAACCCACTCTTTGACTTAATACAACTCACCAAAATAGTAAAAAGTAAATTTTACTCTTTTAAAGTTAACATCAAATTAGATTTATGAAAATCTCCTCCCATGCAATTAACAACCTCTGTAAACCTGCAGGAGGGTCAGCTATAGGTTGGTACCAACTTGATGGCACTCAACAACAACACTGAGAACAGGAAAACACACTAGGTCATTTGATATAACCATCCTCTCAATGTGTCAGCTGTGTCATTACAGTGATGTCCCATTGTGTCACCTCTCCACCATGGGCTTCCTCCCAAACCAGATTGTACAGAACCCATGTTGTTGTTATGTGCTGTCTAGTCGTTTCCGACTCATAGCGACCCTATGCACAACAGCCCTAAACCCTGCTCTATCCTGCGCCAAACGCACCGCCTCTGACTCACCCATCCCGATTACCCCAGTCACCGAATCAATCCATCTCATAGAGGGTCTTC